GTGCCCACAGACCATTCCCTCAGCCATGTTGGGGCACCATCTGTTCCTGCCAAGGGGAACCATCCCCATCTCTCAGTCTGCGGCTCTCCTGGGCGGCAGTGGCCCATTCTGAACCACCTCCAGCTCCAGCCCCCCTCGCAGGTCCCCGCTGGGCTCTGTCCTCCTGCTGGGCATGCCAGGCCCTTGGCAGGTGCACCGAGTATCTGGCTGATTGCTGCCTCATGTGGGAGAGGGGCTTTGCTGTTGGTGGCCGGCCGTGGCTTCTAAGGGTCCTGCTCAGTAGTACCAGCAGGGATCCTGGCCCGAGTCATGGACTGCAGTGAAGATGTCTATGACTCAGGTCCCTGACTCCAGGTGAGCCAGATGAGCTCCTGGAAGACGTCATCCGTGTTGTACAATATCTCAGTGCTCGTTCGCTTGCAGAGTTTTCTCTTCTCTTTGGAGCTGGGGCAGTAAGTGGCCGGAATGTACGTCTGGGAGCTGGGGCCGGAACGTCTCAGGTCCAAATCCACCTCTGCCTGTGTGACCTTGGGTGAGTCACTTAAGCTCTGTGCATAGACGCAACGTGACAAACCAGATGTGCTCAGCGGGCTTGGTACAGAGTGGACAGTCCCCACGTCCTGGGTGTGATCTACCATGCCCTGCCCCGCCCCACAACCGCAAAGACTCCTCACAGCACATTTTCCAAAGGCTTTGCTCCCACCATGCCAGGAGGGATTCAGAGCAAGCCCATCCCTGCTGTGTCTCCCCTTCTCCCAGGAAAAAGTGGGCCACGCTGGGATTCGGAGCCTGGTGCTCGGCTGCTGGGAGGGGTCTGACCCGCACACTCCCCACATTGCTTTCAGATGGGGGAGTAACCCCAAGGAAGCTTCCGTGTGTCCTTCTCAGGGACTTGCACTGACCCCCAAGAATTCTCTCTGTGTGAAAGCACGGCGCAGGCTGTAGGCCGTGAGGTCGGGTCCAGGAATTAGACCCTGACGAGCGCCCCCTTTGCGGGTGTCCAGCTCAACTCCAGAATCCCGTCTCTTAGCGACACTTTCTGCCTTAGCGCCTCTCCCTGGTTAAGGAGATGCCACAGTATTAATCCGTTTCAAGGCTTTTAAACAAACAGCCATAAATATTTAAGCCTCTGCTTTGCCTATTGGGGAAAATACCAGCTAAGATAATTATTTTTGCCTCTGCCTAACAGAAAGATTTACACAGAGGACAGGATTATGTTAACCTCTGAGCAAATTCGGAAGCTTGGACCCAGGATGGTCTTCTTCACCGCAATTATTCCTGTGGCCACACAGGCCACATTCCCAGATCTGTACGGGGAAAATGCTGGTGGAAGGTAAAAACAGCCTAAATTATTGATCGAGTTCCCAAAGTGGTGCAGCTTGCGATGAAAGTCAACTGAAATTGAAACACGGATTTGGGCTTCTGCTCACCTGAGTGTCATGTCGTCCACACTGTGAAGTGTGTCGAGGGCCGGGTCCCGGTGGAGACTGTCCCAGCGGCACCCTGTTGGGCACAGTGAGTCTCGGGACGCATGAGTCACTTAGGAGCAGAACGGTGGTTTTGTGGGGTGGGCAGTCCCCGTGTCTGCTGGGGGCCTGAGTCTAGCAGGGAAACCTGCTTCTGGGTTTCTCAGGAAGGTGGCCGTGGGCCATTCCTCACTGCCTTGGGCACCTCTTCTGAGTCATGCTGTGGGGACCATGAAGGGGATTGCAGCAGAAGACCACAAGAGGCCCCCACACTGTGTAGCAAACGGGTCAAGATAGAACAACACCCACAGCAGGACGACCTTGCCTGGGGCCCGACGATACTCCAAGTCACAGAGAGCAACCTTATGGGGTAGACGTTATCATCCCCACTTTACAAGGGAGGAAACTGAGGCACAGGATGTTTAAGTAAGTCCACCACCTGCCCAGGTGGTGGACGTGCACTCCAGTAGGATGACTAGAAAGTTCTAGAAAGTGCTCAGATGAGAAAGCCAATCTCAAAGGATTAGGTACCATATGACTCCATTGTATGCCATTCTTGAAACGACAAAGTTATAGGATGGAAAATAGGTGAGTGGTTGCTGGGGGCCAGGAATGGGGATAGGAGGAGGGTTGGGGAGAGGTGGGTGTGGCTCTAAAAGGCCAAGAGGAGGGACGGAACTGTTTCTTGACGGTGGCGTTGGAGACGGGAATCTACACTTGTGGTCGAGGTACACAGAACTAAACAAACATACACACAAATGAGTACAATTAAAAAAAAAAGTTACCCAGATATGTTAGAAGTGTGTCTAGGTGTTCCTGGAGAAGGGGGCTGGGAGCTTATCAAATATGGTCATGCAGGACACCATTATGAGTGTGACAGGACGGGCCTTTCCCCAAAGGTGTGTGCGCCCTAGTCCGGGAATCTGTGGCTATGGTAATTTTATCTGGTAAAAAGGACTTGGTAGGTGTGATTAAGGATCCTGGGACAGAGCGACCAGCCCGGGTTATCTGGGTAGGTCCCAGGTAATCACAATGGTCCTACCAGAGGGAGGCTGTGCAGATGGGATCATAAGTCAGAAATGGTAAGAAGTTATGCCACGGACGGTAGCCACACGGAGGCTGGAAAAGGCAAGGTGACGGGACTCCCCCAGAGCTCCTGGAGGGGTGCAGCCCTGCCGATAGCGTGACTTTGACCCAGCGCAATGGATTTTGGACTTCGAAACCCCAGAGCCGTAAGATAATAAATTTGTATTTTTTTAGTCCACAAATTGTATGGTTACTTGTTGTAGCGGCAATAGGAAACTGATACAATGAAGAACATTAGGGGAAAAAAAAGACAACGAACGTCCATTATTTGGAACATTTCATCTACGTGGATGCCCTTGTCCCTGGTGATGTCACGTGGCTGGAGTGTTACTGAACACGGGAAGCCATTTGTTTGATCTCAGAGATCGGTCTTACTGGAGAGAAGTTCAAACCACCTTTATTCCTAAAAAACGCTTCCTTCTCTGTCACCACACATTTATAGCAGCTGGTGGGTGTTAAACGGAGAAGACGCAGTTCATAATCACAGTTGGTTTAATGCATGTCAGCCGGCAGAGGCGTCAGAATAAATCCTGCATCAGGAAGCTGTATTTTCACTGTACGCTCTCCCCATTCTTCATGTCTGAGGACTACGTAAGCTCACGTTAAGCCTGGAGACAGTAATATGTGAGTTCTTTGGGGGACAAACCCCCCCAAAGGTATGTATCAAGATACCATGTCACCTTTGGCCACGTCATTGAGGATTTAAGTTTCTTTTTTTTTTTTTTTAAGATTTTATTTATTTATTTGACAGAGAGAGATCACAAGTAGACAGAGAGGCAGGCAGAGAGAGAGAGAGAGAGAGGGAAGCAGGCTCCCTGCTGAGCAGAGAGCCCGATGTGGGACTCAATCCCAGGACCCTGAGATCATGACCTGAGCCGAAGGCAGCGGCTTAACCCACTGAGCCACTCAGGCACCCCGAGAATTTAAGTTTCTAAGTAAATATTCGAAGTCTGTGTTCCCACACTGCGTAGATAAGAAACAAAACAAGGAACCTCTTAACAATGGGAAAAAAATATTAAGCTTTCCTTGTGGACCACTGGCTGCCACGGAGCATAGCACTAGGTGTAAAACACTGGATTTGGCATTTCTGTCCTCAGTGCAATTCTACAAGGAGGATATTATCATTCCTAACTTGCCATTGTGGATGTGGGAGCTGAGAGGCTAAGGCACTTGCCTGAGTTCCCACAGACTGTGAAGAAAAGTCAGACCTGAAGGACACATTGGTTTGACTCCTAAGCTCATGTCACACCTACTGCCTCTAAGACAAACGCGTGGGGCAACAGATTAAAAATATACCACATGAGGGACACCTGGACACTGTGGCTCAGTTGGTTGGACGACTGCCTTCGGCTAAGGTCATGATCCCGGAGTTCCCGGATCGAGTCCCACATCGGGCTCCCAGCTCCATGGGGAGTCTGCTTCTCCCTCTGACCTTCTCCTTGCTCATGCTCTCTCTCATTGTCTCTTTCTCAAATAAATGAATAAAATCTTAAAAAAAAAATACCGCATGAGCTGCCAGCTGCTAACACGAACAGGAGAGCGTCCAGAGAGGGAAGGTTGGGGTAATGTATCTGTTAGCTTAGACCATGCTGGAGCTCAGCTGGGAAGACCCCGTTTCATCCACTGGGCTGTGTGTGCACAGAAAGTTGGCTACATAGCGACCCAGGGTTATAACCCACCCAGTCACGGGCATGTAGGTAGGCTCGCAATAGGATGAAAATCACTCAGACTGTGTCATAACAGGGGTGCCTGGGTGGCTCAGTTGGTTACCTGCCTGACTCTTGATTTCGGCTCAGGTCATGATCTCGGGGTTGTGGGATCGAGCCCTGGGTCAGGCTCCATTTGGAGTCTGCTTGAGATTCTCTCTCTCCTTTCCCTCTGCCCTTCCCCTGTTAGCTCACTTGTGCTCTCTCTCAAATAAACGAATAAATCATCAAAAGCAAAAAGATTGTAACAAAGATGAAGCAATATGGCGACTGCTGTGATCACACGTCTTGAAACCACTCCCCTTACAACCACGCTGGAATATTCTTCCTAGATCAAACACCCTGGTCAATTCCAGGGGGTCATTTAGGGCACTGATCACTCTGCTTTTCCGAAAAAGCCACCATTGGACCCACCTTTTGACGCAGTTTTCCCAAGCAGAGCATTTTTACAAGCAATATCCCCCCCTCTCTGCCCAACAGTGTAGCTTAAGTTGTCTTGATGATGACTGTGTAAGAGACACAATCTACCGTACACCCAGCTTACAAAACAAAGTCCCACAGAATGAGACACTCCCTTAACATGTACTGAGCTCTCATACTTGTTTTCTATTTTGCTCTATTTAGTTTAGCCTATTTTGTGGTCACTGTCTTGCTGATTTGCTTGGGGATTCCCCCAGGAAGGGGGCTGTATTTGTGATTTGAAAGGTCTGGTCTGGAAACCAAGGAAAATCAGGGTCCCTACCTCTGGGGCGATGTAATCCGGTGTCCCACAGAAGGTCCTGGTGGTGACCCCATCCATCATGTGTTCCTTGCACATCCCAAAATCAGCAATCTTGATATGCCCTTCCGAATCCAGCATGACATTATCTAACTTCAGATCCCTGCAAGGAAGCAGGAGAGCATCAGCGTCCTTCCCACGACATCGTACGGTTGGTTCCGGAGCTAGTGAGACACAAGGATCTTTCTCTAGCTGCCACCTCAACGGTGTATTAACTACGAGTCCTAGGAGAGCTGGGACCAGGAAGGACTGGCTTTTGTTTTTTAGTTTCTGAAATCTCCAGAGCCTACCGTAGGGCCTAGAACACAGTAGGTACATAATAAATGTACACCAAATAAATGACTACATGGTTGGCCTAGTGATCCCCAACCTTGGCCGAGCATGTGAATCACCAGATTCTAATTTAGCAGGTCTGGGGCAGCTCCCAGCCGTTTGATTTACTAGGCTCCCAGACATAGCGGGGTGCGGGGGCTGGTACCCAACCAGGTTTGCCAAATCCCAGGTTCAGGACAACCTTGCTGGGTCACATACATGCGTCCCTTACATTCTGGCTGGTGCCATAGATCCTTTTACTCTTCAGTTAAACCTGGAAGACATCTTCCTTTCTTCGGCATTAGACTTTGACTGTTGCTAACTACTTGAAGAATTTAACTCAATCGTTTTCCCCCCTGCCTCTCCCCAGCTCCCCGTGTTCTTCTTCTGCCGAGCCTCTATAACAGAAATTCTGTAACAGAAATTCAGTTTCTGCTGCTCCCTGACCTCCATCCCCACCCCGCCCCCCAAAAAAGAGGCAGAGGAAGTTGCTGTCGGTGGAGAGAAAAGCATGTTTTCTTGTGGGAAGCAGAAACAAGATACAAAATCTTCTGAGGCCCGGAGATCAGAGTGGCTCTGATTTGCATTCAGGCTGAAGACAAAGGTGGGTGCCGGCAGGTCTTTGTCACCTCAAGGGTCCTCAACAACGTGCCTTAAGTCCCCCCCACCCCCCGCAACAGAATCACAGGCACACGGGGGTCCAGAGGTCCGGGAAAACTCCGGGGTGCCCCACCAGCAACGCAGCTTCAACACGCACCTGTATATGATTCCCCTTTTATGAAGAAAGAACAATCCAATGGAAATTTCTGCTGCATAAAATCTGCAAAAGAAAACGTTCGTCAGGCCCGCCGGCTTGCTCTCTGGATTCCTGAATATTCTGTTCCTTCCGGTTTAGGCATCAAGGAGGCAAAAGAATGTAGGATGCCGGGACAGTTCAGAAATCAGCATCGGCCTACGGATGACAAACCCCTAGCCCTTCCGTTGGCTATTTTATCATTCCCACCTCCCCGAGGAACTTCGCAGCTAATGAGTCAGAGAGACAGGTTTATGACCTGTCTACAAACAAGAGCTTCTTGTCTGAGGCCGGTGGACAGTTAATTTACTGCTTACAAGAATTCTCCAATACAATCTCTTAAAGACTGGCCACTAGACTATTCTGTGTCGGGACTGGGGAAGAGTGGAGAAAAGGTCCCTTTTCCTATTCCTGGACAGAACGCATTAACGTTTGAAAGGGCAGCGATCCCCTGGGAGGGGGAGAAGCGTGCGCAAATGTGCTCCGTATAGCAGGTGTCCTCAATCCCCCCCCCCACCGTCCCCATCCCAAGCGCTCAGATAAATGGGACACACGCCATGATTCATGCTCAAGTTTACCCTTTTAAATAATTCATAATAAACTCAGAGTAAATGCTAAAAGAGGTTTTCAAATGTGCATAGGATTTAGGAATCTTTGAAGTCTGAGAATCCACAATGTTGTCTGTGCCAACATCGCGTACCTGGGAGGCTTGAAATTCGTGCAATGTCTACACGAGCAGAGAACAACCTCTAGTGATGGGCACAGAACTCTGACGGGGAGGGGTGAGGGGGGCACCCCTGAGGGCCGGCAGGGGAGGGACAGGATGGGGGAGGGAAAACGATGGGATTGCAGGTGACTTTTACATGATTTTTCAAGCTCTTCTGTATTTTTTAAAATAAGACCCTTCTAGCACCACAAACACACAACGTAAGAGGGCTGGACGAGACACCTTGATGTCACCTTATAACGTAAGGTGGCTGTTTCGCTACTAGCCCTTTACAGCTCTGTCATCAAGCTTTACTTTACAACCCGAGCATTTTGATGCTTTCTAACAAACAGAGTTAAGACACGGGATAAAGACAGGCATTCCTGAAAACTGAGAAGTAAAAATCTAAATAGAAAAAAAAAATCCCCCTTCGACAATAATAAAAATCTGATGGGCGTTCATGAGTTTGATTAATAAGGAAATCTGAGAATGAAGAAAAAGAAAGAAAAAAAAAATCCCCTTTTGCATTTTTTTCAGCTTGCTACCAAAACATGCCTTCTTCTGCCCTCAGTCCATCTTCCCTAAGACGGGTCAAGCCATCCCACCCGTAAGTTCTTTACCTTTGTCTTTTACAATGAACATCAGCCAGGATCCAATTAACATTAGCTGACTTGATTAATCGGGGGCATGCCCATGAGGCATACTCCCCAAGAGAAATCTTTCCTCCCAAAAGATTTTTTATTTATCCATCTGAGGGAGCTAGAGAGAGAGAGCACAAGTAGGCAGAGTGACAGGCAGAGGGAGAGGGAGAAGCTTTCCGCCAACCACGGAGCCCGATGCAGGGCTTGATCCCCAGACCCAAAGGCAGCCGCTTGACTGACTGAGCCCCCCAGGCGCCCCTGAAATAGCTGTTTGTACATGTCTGCCTCTGCTGTGTGTCCTGTGACCTCTTGGCCCCTGGAAAACAGGGTGACTTTTTCAGGTACCGAGGTCCTCTCTTCAAAGGGCTGTGTCTCTCCCCTCTGCAGCTGCCTCCTGCATCCCCATGGAACTCTCCACACGGAGCTCATGATTCTCCTCCACATCGTCTCCTCCTTGGCGGCTGCCCCCTCCCAAACCGAAAATGAGGTGTCACCGGAAGAGGTTTCTCTGTTCTACACCGAGTTCTGCTTTTCTTCCTCCAGAACGTTTCTCAAAGACCCTTCCTCCTCTTTGGCTCCAAGGTCAAGGCCTGACGAAGGTTCCATTCTTTCTCGTCTACATAGACCTTCACCAGCCCCGCTGCACTAGTCCCTACTCTTCCTGCCCCCCTTCCCCTCTCGGTCACGGGGCTCTGTGAAAGCTGAGCCTGAAGCTGTGAGTCCCCCTGAAGCCCTCCCCAGCCTTTTGTGGGCCTCAGCCAGGCCCTCCATCAGGCTCAACACCCAGAGCCCCTGCACCCTCAATCCCAAACCACCTTCCTCCTCACTGACTTGGGCATTTCCTGAGGAGGTTCCCCCCCCCCACCCTTCTCCAGGGCTCGCGTGCTACCTCTAACGTTACGGGTACACGGTACGACTGGCGAGTGACTTCTGCCCTGGGTCAGGTGCTGAGCTCCCGGAGGGCAGACAGCCACCTCCAGTGCTCGGTGTGTTGTGACTGTGCCATAATCAATTGTTAAATAACAGGTGGCCGACTCCGTCAGTGAGGGGGTATGGGTGACAGAATGGGTGACAGGGGAAACACCAGCGTCTCCAACCAACCAGATGTAGAATGAACCTCCCTTCAGAAGTGGTGACCAAGAAGTCTGCCCCTTGGGAGGAGACGGTGCTTGGCCCCAAGGTGGGCAAACCCCACTCCCGTATTTCACCCAGCAGTGGTCCCCATGGCCTGTCTAAATTAAGGGACTTAAAAAAAAAATACTCACACTGCTTGTGGTTCCTTAAATTTTCCCACTTGCTGAATGTGGTACATGAGGTCCCCGCCATTGACGTATTCCATGACGAAATACAGCCGGTCCTGAAGACGAAGGTTCAACATGTGAGCAGGGCTTGGCCACCGGCCAAGAAGCTTCCTTCACTCTTTCTGGGCTGTATTTTGCTTTCTCATTAGTTAGTCAACCGTGGGCCATGCTGGCAGGTCTGTTCGGTGGAGCCCTGCAAAATTTTTCTTCCCGGATAAGACCTAAGTAATAAACCCTATTGCATGAGGGCCCTGGGATGTATAAAGTCATTAACGTAACTCTGAAATAACGGCTTTCTGTCCACATGGCGGTCCCCTTCCGGTTCCGGGCGCTCCCTACCTCAGCAACGGCCTCAAACGCTCTTCCCCTTTCTCCTGCACATGTACTACACGACTACATTAAGGGTGGTGTGAAGAACCCAAATGGGCCAATTATTTACCTTTTTTTTTTTTTTAAGATTTTATTTATTTATTTGACAGAGAGAGATCACAAGTAGGCAGAGAGGCAGGCAGAGAGAGAGGGGGAAGCAGGCTCCCCGCTGAGCAGAGAGCCCGATGTGGGACTCGATCCCAGGACCCTGAGATCATGACCTGAGCCAAAGGCAGAGGCTTAACCCACTGAGCCACCCAGGCACCCTACTTTTAACGAGTGTTGCTGGTTTGCAACACTCAGTGGTGTAGTAGTCATGTGTTTCCACTGGAAGCTTCTGGAAACAAGTCTCGTGAGTCAGGCTGGGCTCCTAAATTATAAATCCTCAATGCTATTTACTATGGGGGAGGGGACTATACGGGGAGAGGCTAATGCAATGTGCTTCTGCACCCGTAATAGGCCCAAATGTTGTTTTTTTATTTTCTCCGTCACTGGTGTGCTCAATGCCGGCCCCATGGAGGGCGTACCTCATGGACCCCAATAAAGCTGCATATTTATGAGGACACTGCAGTGGGGTAGATGGGGAACGATGGGGTTGAAGAGCCAAGCAGCTCACAGCACAGCACAACCAGGTGAAAGCCGACCTCTGCTCATTTCTAGACAATGTCACCATTTCACGGAAGTTATTAAACTTGAAAGTGTCGCACAGGGAGGGGAAAAAAATGATGAGGCTGTTGCTAGCATCCAGGAAACAGCTCCCGGAGCTTCCATCACTAGCTTTCCTGTGATGAATTTTAATTCCATCTTTATTTCCATGTTTTGCTGCTTCCCGGAGCTTCATCAGTGTAGCCGGGGGATGGGATCTGGGCTGGGATTCGCAGACACGGCTCCCTGCCTGGCATATTGCGCTTCCCTCCCAGGAGCTACTTAGGCGCTACTGGGAGAAGGGGCTGGCGGTGCCACCCGCAACGGGCTGACACGCAGTGGCCGGCATCTTGCTCTCCAGCCCATGATTCGCCCCTGACACCGTGCGGTTCCATGGTCAGGGTCATGCGGAAATTCTAAAATCCAAGAGCACTGAGGGGGGCCTCCCAGGAGATTTTGAAAGAGAGATGGAAAACAGAAAGTCATTTTCTGGCCAGCAGAAAGTTGAAAATAATTATAATTGTAACAGTAATAATTATAGCTACTGAATATTGAGTCACATCCTAAAAAGGGGAGCTACCGGGGGGTGGCGGGCCTGTCTTTGGGCATGGGCATGCCTGACAATGGTACCCTCGAAATGTTTATATTTCTCGCGGGCCACCAGCAAGCTCCATGCCAGGGCCCTGGCCCCACAAAGGGGCTGATCAGTGCTTTGGAACTCTCTTGTCCTCTTTTTCATTATACTGTAAGACAGGGCTCGGCAGACTTTCTGTAAAGGGCTAGACAGTAAATACTTTAGGCTTTGGGTGTGTCTTGCCACGATTCAACTCTGCCTGTGAAACAGGAGAGCCACTCTGGATGACAGGAAAATGAAGGAGCCTGGCCGTGTTCTAAGAAAATGATTCATGGACCCTGAAATGTGAATTTCATCTAATTTACACGTCACAAAATATCATTCTTTTTTTTTTTCCTCCTCTAAAATTTCTTAGAGCTCATAGGCTGTACAAAACAGACCAGACTGCCAAGCTGCTGTGTGCAGTGCATAAGAACATACTCTTTTTGGACATCAAGTTTCCCTGGGTTCTAATGCTATGCTTGGCAACGGGATCCATGGTCTTCAAAAGCCGGGACTGTGGGTTCTTTTATTGGTGGTGTAGCCTCAAGTCTTAGCACATGGCCCAGTAGATGGAAAACTCTGGTACACATGTTTGCTGAATTAAATAGAATTAGTGCCAAGCCTGTAAGTAGGGCACATCCCAGAAAGAGGACTCCCCAAGTTTACCAGTGGCATGGAAGTGAGAGGCTTTCTGGAGCCTTCTCCACTGGAGGAAGGTTGATTCAGATGCTTACAATGCTGGCTCAGGGGTGGCCCCTGAGAGCACGCCGTGTGCTGAGCCACGGAGATGGCACAGCCCTGGGGGACTCACCACGGTCTGGAAGCAGGAGTGTAGCTGTGTCAGGAACGGGGGCTTGTCCAGCAGGGCCAGGACTCGCTTCTCCACCATGGTGCACTCCACGTCGTCATCTTGAATCACCACGTCCTTCTTCAGGATTTTGATGGCATACAGTTCCTCTGTGCCCTTCCGGTCAGCGAGCATCACCTGGGGGCAGACGAAAGGCAACCTGAAAGCTTCGAAGCAGACCTCTGGAAGCTGGGGGTGGGGTGGGGGGACCTGGTCAGGCGGCCGTTCAGTTGGTGCACATTTGTAAACGCGGGCTATGCACATATTCATCAAGTTCCGCTTCGTGGGCCAATTCTGAAATGTCGCATGGCAGTGTACAGAAAATGCCGCCAGCACTGGACAGTTCAGAAGCTGTCCGGGTTTGTGCGCTGCACAGGCTCTGGCCACATGGTGGCGCTATGGTGGCTGCGGGAAGGAATCTACGTGGTCCTCAGCATTGGCCTGAGTAGGCATGTTTTTCAGGAGCATCCTTTGGGCAAAAACGTGACTGCGCTCACGAGTCGGGAGCCAAGACAAAGAGATAGGATTGGAAATCACTTCCTGGATCTATCGTGAGATTTGGGGCCAGAGAAACCAAATGCAGACAAATAGGTTCATGGCTGAAGAAACTCTGTTCAGCGTCTCTCAGCTATTACATTCGCTCACTGCGAATCAACTTTTAATTTTAATTTTTTTATTTTTTAGATTTTAAAAATTTATTTATTTTGATTAAGAGGAGAAGCGAGAGAGAGCATGAGTGGGGGAAGGGAGAGGGAGAAACAGACTCCCCGGTGGGTAGCCTGATGTGGGCCTCGATCCTGGGACCCTGGAATCATGACCTGAGCCGAAAGCAGATACTTAACTGACTGAGCCATCCAGGCGCTCCACAAATTAACTTCTAATATTTAGTTGTGAAAATTATTGATTCAAATTATCGATTCAACCTACGTTTCAGAGCACATGCTCTGTTCTCAACACGGAAATAGGGGCACACAGTGAACTCTCTGTAGTTTTCTGGGTACAGTTGTTTTTAATGAAATGAAGTGGTGGGTGGGGCATCTGAGAAAGGAGTACAGAGAATGGGGAAACCCCAAGGACAGCTCTGGAAACCTCAGGGAGCACAGACCCCATCCCCGATCCCGGGCATTCTCTGCAAATCCCCCCTGCCCCTCCCCTCACCCCTTCCCCCTGTCCCCAGACAACAAACTGTCCTCTTACCTTTCCAAAACTCCCCTTCCCCAGCACCATGAGGAAATTGAAGTCGGTGAGTTTCACTCTGTCCAGGTTGTTGGAAGTTTGTCTCCTGTCTTCTGAAGGACTGATGACTTTGTTACCAGCAGGGCCAAGCTTGGCTTTCTAAACAAAAAGCACACACAGGAAATCGAAGGGTCATTTTACCCAGGAAAAACAGTGACAGAAAGCATTTAACTAAGCTTGAGGGCAGCTGGGAGGTGGGAGGGGGGATGTGGGCAAGAAAAGAAATCACAGGGCAATGAAATACTTATTCAAAAGTCAGTGGGTATATATACCCTAGGGGTAACATTTGCAAAGTAGCAAAAAAAAAAAAATTGCCCTTACCTATCAAGAGACAACCCTTTACATTGTTTACCAAGTCATGGGACTCTGTCAAGAGCAGGCTGATTCTCATTCTGGGACTTAGAAATTAACTTCTGGGGGGAAGACGGTGCTTCACGATGGTTAACATAATAAAAGAAATAAATGGTGCACTGACGCTCTTATTTGTAGATTTTTCCAATTTAAGATTCATTTGCATAAAGGAGAGCTTTATCCTAGCAAAAAGGGGTTTCCTGGAAAGGAACCTCTTAACAGGCAAGCTGTGGGGATGATTTATTGCTACTTTAAAAGGCATAGTAAGAACATAGGGTTTGTTGTGGTTATTGTTGTTTTTTTTGTTTGTTTGTTTTAATTTGACAAAGAGACACAGCGAGAGAGGGAACACAAGCAGGGGGAGTGAAAGAGGGAGAAGCAGGCTTCCCACCAAGCTGGGAGCCTGATGTGGGGCTCGATCCCAGAATCCTGGGATCATGACCTGAGCCGAAGGCAGACGCTTAACAACTGAGCCACCAGGTGCCCCGGTTATTGTTGTTTTAAGTCAAGAGTTGAACTCAGGAAAATGGTGACGTGCACGAGAACCTACATTCACACCAAACACCCAGCACCCTCTGAACCTGAAGCATCCTTGATCAGTGACCTGTCAGTTACCAAAAGGCGTTTTTTTTTTTGTTTGTTTTTTGTTTTATAAGCCAGGTTCCTGCTACACACAGGTGCTGGAGAAACTACACCCTCATTGTTCTGGTTGAAGAGTTAGAGTCTCGGATTAAAGGTCAAGGAGAGCAAGAAGGCTCAGCCGAAAAGGAAAGGCTAATGGCATCATTTGGGAAGGTCTCAACACTCAGCAAAGGAGCCCACAGAGAATCTCCCCCCAACTCTGCCTGGAGAACATCTGCTTGATGGTGAGGGCATGAGCTGCTGGACAAGTCAGCTGCTGAAAAGGCCAGGTCCTGCAGTGTGGCTCAACTGTCACTGCTCTGAGCCAGAGGGCGAAGACTGTGGCTTTGGATACATTCTAAATGTTCTAAATGATAGGGTAATCCCCGCACCACCACCACCACCCCCACCCGCAGCAGACCTAAGTGCTGCTTTGAGTTTCCAAGCAGGGGCCAGGACATCACTCAAGTCTGTGTGGGTATGAAAAAGAAGGTACACGATATAAAGAAGGTATTCTGGGCTTTGCTTTGTGACCAGAGCTCTCTCTTGTGGGAAGACAGAGGATCTGACATGTTTTTCTTAACAGCAGAGGCGGTTTTTGAGGAATCACCCATATTCCCTTAGAGCAGCATCGGCCCTTCGTCCCTGAGTTCCTGCGCAGGCACCTTGTGCCAGGCTCTGGGGAAGAGTCTTTGCATTAGTGGATCGGGCCATCTCTGGATGCCCAGGCCTCACGCAGGGCTCGGCACAGGGCGTGCGCTCTACTTTCTGGCTGAATGAGGAAATGAAGCTTGAGTGTGTTCGTCAGAGGCTGTGCTGTTAGGGGATGCTTTCCTGTGATAAAAACAACACGTCTGTGTAAAGATCAAACCTCACGGCTGGATGCATGCTTGAACTGAGCACATCCATGTGTGCAGAGACATTAAGACACGGAGGAGAGATGGCCCCCACTTTTTTGCAGAGACCTTAAGACGTGGGGGAAGGATGGCCCTAACATTTTTGCTTCGAGTCTGAAAGCATTTATACAGCTGTACCATATTCCTCTATCGGCAGTGCCTGGAGGGACACACGCGTGAACCTGGGGGTCGTTGGATACACGGACACTCTTTAAAGACAAAAAACTGAACTACGGTAATACGTAGTTTTACGTATTGTCCCCTTTGACAGAGGATGGAAGGAATGTCTAGACAGACTTGTGAGAAAGAGCTAAGACATAACCACTAGTGTTACATCAGGAACCCCCTCAACTGCGGGGCCAGCCCCAACCCTGGAAGCCAGGAAGCAGGAATGCAGGAGCACCTGGCTCCGGGGGTCTCAGATGGACCAGGTTCGACCACTTGCCACTGACAAAGTCCAAAGGCAGACAAACGAGGGGTGGTGAACTGAGAAAGTAATTTACTTCAGGGAGGCCAGCACCAGGAAGACAGTGGACTAGGGTCTCAGAGACCGTCTCCAAAGTGCTGAAAGCACTCCCAGGACTACGTAAGGAAAATGCGGGGCAGAGGCCAGTGGGTGCATTCATGCAGCTGGGCAGTGAAGGTCAAGTTGATCACTGTCTTGGGGGTCAATCATGTGGGGGTCTTGCTGGCACAGGGTATTCCTTATTGCAGGAGAGGGTAGTTTCGGTCCCCATCAAGGGATGCTTTGCCCAGATGATCTCATGCCTGTTTAGAGAGAAGCTAGAAAGGAGAACTCAATCATTTAGAAGGTAGAGACCAGGATCAAAACGGAGGTGGCGGAGAGCGGAATTCCTCTTTTACTCCACACATCTGCCGCAGGAATGATTCCAAGTTGAAAAACTTTCTAGTGTGTGTTGTCGACATTGCAGTGAACAATCAGGAAGTTCAAGTGTGAGATGAGAAAACCAACGATGCCACTCTATCCTGTTCTTTTGATTTTTAAAAAGAAACGTTATCTGAAAGAGGCACGAGGAGATTCATTTTATTTTGTCAGGAACTTCACGGTAAATTCTGAAAAGGCCCCCACATGACGGACTCAGTGTTCAGAGGCGCTTGAAACAGTCTAAGAGTGTCTTCACCTGGGTGAGGCTGTGATCGTGCCTGGCTGTCCAGGGACACCCAGCGTCCATTTGAAGCGCGGGGTTCCTCACCAGAGGTTCCACTCCTGTGAAGTCCTAGAGTCCCTGCTCCTTCCTCCTTTGACACTTCAGCACCACAGACAGCGAAAGAGGGATGGTGGGCTGCTGTAAGGACGGACCTCCGCAGCAGACACTGCCCTCACTGTGGACCATAACCCAGCAAAGGAGGTTTGCGCTGTGACCTTAGTCCAGGTACGGGGAAAAGATTTTACCCAAAGGGATGAAAATGCAAGGAAACCATTTTTGCATTTGAGTATTTCTGAACACGACTGCAGCAGGATCTTGGGGTTCCGCTCTGAAATCAATCCGTGAGGTTTGGGAGGAATGTCGACAAAGGAGTCTCCTGCTCCTGGGAGGGAAAGCTGGAGGGAGGAAGGACACTGGTTTCTTCCCCTGTTCTGGGCAGATTCCATTTTCGTGTTTCTGCAGCTAGAAGCAGAGCTGGGTTCCATGTGGCTGGCAGAGCAGGGGGATAGTTTGGAAGGAGACGGGCCAGGCTGCCACACTGGGTGCATTCTCCAGTAGGGGGGCAGGCTAGAAAGTGGCCTGGCCCAGAGGACGAGAAGGATTTCTCCCCAGCTCCTGGCATCCCTGAGATAAGAGCAGCCTGGGGGGCTTCGTGCAGCTAGCCTTCCGACCAGAGAGATGTGGCTTCCATACTTCCCTGCAGGAGCTTCTTCTGGAGTCATTTCCCTGCTGCCATGGGCAGGTCTGGCCGTGGGATGGCCCGGAGCCTTTGCCCCTGTGGAGTCTGCAAAAGCAACTCTTCTAAGGCAGTCAGTTCTATGAGACCAAAACCGCAGTGGTCTGGGCCTGACTTTGGCAAGTCCCTCGCTCAACCTGGGTCTAATCATTGGCACAGCTGGAGACAGCCAGTGGCTACTCTAGCAGCTGTGTAGCTGGGGACTGGTGGCGAGCAGACGACCCCCAGGAGGGTGGTCTACACAGCCTCCACCTCCAGTCTACATTCAGGTAGCCTCTGGCCAACCCCCCCTAGTTGCCCCTTCCCCCTGCCTCTCCTCATCCTCCGCCGCCCCATGCTGTGGGTGTGCAGTCCCCCACCCCTTCCCAGGCTGACTTCTCCCCACCTGCAGGCTCTAGCATGACTGTCATCTCTTCAGAGGACCCCTCCCCAAAGACTGGCTGCCATTCTCCCTCCCACAGCCCTGCTCTCAACAGTGCATAGGGCGACTTGGGAATATTTATGGTTTGTTTAATGCCTCTTCCAATCACACTGTACAGCTCATCTATTAGCAGGTTGTGCCAAATCAACCAGCAGATTAGGTCCAGAATCTGGCCTCTTCTCAGGGCCTCCTTCACCACCTCTCCATCGAGGCGGCCCGGGCTCTAGGGTCCCGACTTCTGTGACGTCCCTTTTAGTATATCCCCTGGAGGGACCCTGTCCTGCCTCCCTGGCTTCTCATCTGCTGGACAGAAAAAGGCCGAGTTGTCACAAAGGATGAGGAAGAGCCCCGTGGCTGTGAGCTCTGTCTCTGACCTCGGTCCCACAACTCTCTGGCCCCTTTGTTCCAGTCTCCAGTCTTGGCTGCTCTTCCCGCAAGGGCCTTGCTATCTTGCTCATCCACCAAATCCAGCTCACGCACCACCTCTCCATCTTCTCGATGCCTCCTTCCTCCTGGGATTTCCCACCTGGGGAGACATGGCCTATGACCAGCCCACATCCCTGGAGCTTTCGGCTCTGCACCCCTGTGCACATCAGAGGCTGCCTGCGGGTTCTGTTGGGGCCACACCTGCAGGGCAGGCCTGAAATGCCCACGCCGGCACCCCAGGAAGTCATGGCCTTGACTGGTGCACAAGGAAGTGGGTCCCATGCCATCTCCCTTGCTCCCCAGCAAGACTGGGCTCCAGCCTGTCCGCCATGTTATGACCTGGATAACGACCATGCCCTTACCTTAGCTGGCTTCCTCCCTTCCCTGGATCCCATCCCTGCTGCCCTGCCCCCCACCCCAGGTCTCTTGGGATCACTTCCCAAAACCCTGTGTTCTCAAAACCCTGTGACAGAACTGAT